AAAGCCATCCAAATGTGCACAACGACCCAAACAGAGTTAAATGCTGCAGATGCATGTTTGCTTGCCGAGGTAACACCAAACACACCTTTTTTTGGCGGTGTGGTACTGTAGTAGACTCTTCGCACGTAGTGTTGCCATCGTGCAGCAGTAGAACAAAGGAAACGCATGGCGTTCGAAGTGTTAAGGTTGTGGCCCAATATATGATCGCTGCGTACATCACCACTAATCGGTGCAGACGTGGACCGGCAACTATGTCTGGGGGCGCGTCCAACACATGCGTTCTGTGTTTCTACACGACGCACTACTGTCCCCCCCTCCCCCGTTGACAAGACACGGATAAGTAACGGGCGTTTACGGTGGATTAGTTATTCGGTTGCGAATCTTGTCTGTTGGGGTGAAGGGCCACTTCCGCAAACGCTCTCCGTCGCGATTATCGTGAGAAGCAGTTTGCAGGTACATGCGTGCGCATGGCTGACGATAACCGTCCTTCACAATAGCTTCCTCTTGGGGCTCGACGGTTCTACCCATTTTTCAGGCTAAGTCGAAGTCACGTGCGTGCGTGGTTGTCGAATTTCGCTGTTCATCTCTGTCTGTTGTGCATAGCATTTGGAAACTGGCACGCGAAATTAGGCGCTACAACACGCGCCCCGCCGTCGCGGGTGCTTTACGCAAATCTGCACACACATTCGACCTCTTGCGCCCTGCCATTCACGGACCACAGCGTCGTATTTGACTCCGACAACGTGCGACGAAGAAATTCAAAGGCCCAAGTTACCTAACCCTAAGACGAGTCAAACCACTTGAGCTACGAGTCGAACCACTTGAGCTACGACAGGTCGATGGAGCCTTGGGATTGACTCAGCATAGCGCATGACCCGGCCCCCGCCCCCGCTGCGTGGTCGCGACCGGAAGCGTCTTGCGAGCCGTAGCGCTGAAACGCGAGCCCCCCCCCACAACCTTCCGGTAGGTCGCTCGCCCGCTGAACCTCCGACGTTGAGGTATCCCATGTGGCTGCGAACACTGCCCATCCCATGTACCGGGACGGGCCGAGAGTTGCCGCCCCCGCCACGACCACCCCCTCCCCCGGCGGCAGGCCCGCCGCCACGACCACCTCCATCTTGGGCTACGTTGCCGCGTCCGCGCTGGCAGGGGTCGTTGCGACCAGGGAATCGGGAACGCTGCCGGGGGCCACGGTTCTTTTTCGGACCACCAGCTTGCCGGGTCACCTGCCGCGGGGGCAGGAGGTCGCCCTTGGAAAGCTCTGACCAGATCGGAAGTACGACGGGATAGTCGGGGTGGGTATGCAGCACCCTGTAGGAAGCCAGGGTGCACCCGCTATCAATAAGCGCCCCAAGCAGCCAAGCCTGTCGATTGCTGTCACGGCATCGGGAAGAGGCGGATTGGGCCAGGAGTCGTCAAAGAAAGGTCAATTAATTGTACTCGAGCGTCGGATTTTTTGTGTTCTTTGGTTTGTCACCCTCCCTCATCCCGCTATTGCCCGCGCTAAGTCCTCCCCGGTGCGAACGGAAGGCCGAAACGATCCCAATGCGGAAGAAAGTAGCACAAAAGCACGCAATGAACCAAGAAGGAAGAGACGACCTGGAAGAGAACTCTGCCCTTCCAGAAGGAATAGAGAGCTAGCTCATAAGAGCAGCAGTGAGAATATTTGCGAGGAGTAGTGGACACAAAGACAATGAAAGAAGGGCCATGATAGAAGAAGCAAAACGCGGACGGAGTCAAAACGGACTGCATTCAAAGCAGGAACAATGGTAGCTTGGGTTTCTCGTCATAAGTTACCAGGTCACCGTGTCATGGATGCCGAAAATAGCCTTGCCTTTCCTACGACGCCTTCACGTGGGTTCCTTTCACAGAACACGGCGATTTGAAGGGTACTTGTGGGTTCCCTTCACAGAACATGGCCGGGAAGGGTACTCGTGCTGCCGGACACGAATGTGTGACCAGTGCTACGGATATGGGCAAATACACCAACCGACCGAGGAGCCCGATCACCACAAAATGTGTTCGCTAAGTTGTGTGAAAACCAGGGCTGTTTTCATCCNTCGTCATAAGTTACCAGGTCACCGTGTCATGGATGCCGAAAATAGCCTTGCCTTTCCTACGACGCCTTCACGTGGGTTCCTTTCACAGAACACGGCGATTTGAAGGGTACTTGTGGGTTCCCTTCACAGAACATGGCCGGGAAGGGTACTCGTGCTGCCGGACACGAATGTGTGACCAGTGCTACGGATATGGGCAAATACACCAACCGACCGAGGAGCCCGATCAC